GACACTGGGGGAGCAGGGGGGCATTGAGGGAGCAGGGGGGGCATTGAGGGTCCAGGGAGGGCATTGGGGGAGCAGGGGGGCATTGAGGGTCCAGGGGGGCATTGGGGGAGCAGGGGGGCATTGGGGGTGCACATGCATGGAGGGATTGCATGGATGGGGTGAAAAGTGCAAAGTGGGTGCAGGGATGATGTGCAGGGCAGGATGGGTGCAAGGCGGGGGCTCGGAGGGCAGCGAGGTGAGTTTGGGCTCGGGGTGGGTGCATGACGAGGTGCAGGGAGGGGGTTCAGGGTGCAGGGCGGGGAGTTTGGGTGCAGATTTGGTGCACGGAGAGGTGCCGGGAGGGGATTTAGGGTGCAGGGCAGAGCGCCTGGGTGCCTGCGAGGGTCTCGGGTGCAGGAGGGATGCCGAGAGAGGCCCGCACCCGCTGACCCCACCTTTCCTGGCAGCGAATCCCGCAAGTACCAGGTGGTGCTGGGCGAGTACGACATGAGCGCCGGGGAGGGCCCCGAGCAGCGCATCCCTGTGAACTCCGACGACATCTTCGTGCACCCGAAGTGGCTCAGCTTCTGCGCGGCCTGCGGGTGAGCGGGGTCCCCGGGGGGGCTGGGGACGCCGTGCGCATCCCCTCCCCGGCCCTCTGACCCGAGTCCCTGTGCGCAGCAATGACATCGCCCTGATGAAGCTGCAGCGCCCGGCCGTGCTCTCGGCGGAGGTGCAGGTGGGGCGGCTGCCGCCCGCCGGCTCCATCCTGCCCAACGGGTACCCCTGCGTGCTCAGCGGCTGGGGACGGCTCAGCAGTGCGTCCGGGGACCGGGAGGGACGGCAGGGACACGGGGACACGGAGGGATGGGTGGGGAGGTGGGTGGAGACATGGAGGGATATATGGGGAAATGGATGGGAAGATGGAGGGAGAAATGGGGGACGGAGAAATGGGGAGATGGGTGGGGATGTGGAGGGATGGTTGGGAAGGTGGGTGTAGGGATGGATGGAGGGACCGTGAGGGGTTGGAGGGATGGATGAGGAAATGGGTGGGAAGATGGAGGGAGGGATGGGGAACAGACAAATGGGGAGATGCATGGGGAATATTTGGGGAGATGAGGAATGACTGAGAATTGATTGAACATAGGGCATGGACAGAGGGATTGATAGCTGGGGGGATGTATGGGGAGGTGGAGGGAGGGATGGCAGGATAGGGAGGTAAAGGAGAGGTGGAGGGAAGGGATGGATGGACGATGGATGTGGGGTGGAGGACCATGGGCAGACCCTGGGCTTGTCTGATCCCACAGCTGGAGGGTCGCTGCCGGACCGGCTGCAGGAGGCAGAGCTGCCCGTGGTGGACTATGAGCACTGCACCCAGCCCGACTGGTGGGGGGCCCTGGCCATCCGCCAAACCATGATCTGTGCCGGCGGTGCTGAGAAGGCTGGATGCAATGTGGGTACCGCGCCGGGACGGAGGGGAGCACATCCTGGGCCCCCTGTGGTGCTGACCCTGCCTCATTCCACACCCCAGGGTGATTCCGGGGGCCCCCTGAACTGCCAAGCTGAGGATGGGACCTGGGAGGTCCATGGCATCGCCAGCTTCGTGTCGGCCCTGGGCTGCAATGCTGCCAAGAAACCCACCGTGTTTACCCGCGTGTCTGCCTTCGAGGACTGGATTGCAGAGGTGGACACAGGCTGGCAAGCCTTCCCGAGCTGCCAGGGAATGGGACACTGGGATGTCAGGGTGCAAGGGTGCCAGAGAACTGGGATATCATGGTGTCAGGATGCCAGGAAATTTGGGCACCGTGGTGGCGGGGAATTGGGATGCCATGTCAGAGTGCTGGGTGCCACGGCAATGGGGTACCAGAGCTCTGGGGTTTTGGGGTACCAGGGCACCAGGGGGAAAAGGGGCCAGGCTGCTGGGGTGCCGTGATACTGGTATACCAGGTTGTTTGGGTGCAGAGTCTTGGGGTGCTCTGATAGTGGGGTACCAGAGGATGGGGCTGTCAGGGTGCCATGGTGGTGGGGTACCAGCTGTCCCAGTGCCACAGTAGCAGGGTAAAGAGCTCTGGGATGCTGGAGTGCCAGGGCAGTGGGGTGCCAAAGTGCCAGGGCACAGATGTGCCATGGCACTGGGGTGCTTGGATGTCACGGAGCTGAGGAAAAAAGGGCTCTGAATTGTTGGGAGGCCAGGGGTGGGGTGTGAGGGTACCATGGTAGCAGGTCTCTGGGGTGCCAGCTTCCTGAGCTGCCAGGACAAGTTTGCCAGAGCTCTGGGGTGGTGGGGTACCAGGGTATCAGGGTGCTGGGTTCTGAGGTGCCAGGGAATTGGGGTGTCAGGGTACTGGGTCCTAGGGAACTGGGGTATCAGAAGGCTGGGGTGCCAGGATGACATGGTGTAAGTGTACCAGGACTTAGGGATGCTGAGGCTGGGATGCCAGGGCAACGGGGTACCAGGGCTCTGGGTTCTGGGGTATCATGGTGCTGGGGTGCTGAGGTGCTGGGCACTGGTGTGCCAGGCTCTTGAGGTGTTGGGATGCCGTAGTGCTGAGGTGATGGGGCGCTGGGGTGTTGGGTTATTAGAGTGTTGGGGTGTCAGGGTGTTGGGGTACTGTCCTTCTGTCTTAGAAGCTTCTCCCTTCCAGACCATGAGAGACAACTGAGCGTGGCAGTGTCCTTGTCATCGACCCCCTGGCCTGGCACCAACCAAATAAACCACCAACAGCTGGCACCAGTGTGTCCTTGTGCTGGGGAGAGGTCGGGGGGCAGCAGGGGCTGCACCATTACCAGCAGATAGTACTGGGAGCACCCAGATGTGCCCGATGTGATGGGGATGGGCACCCAGAGACACCCCAGTGTCACAGGGATGGACACGCAGGGATACTCAGAGGTGCCCAGACACCACAGGGATGGGTACCGGGGTGCCCAGATGCCATGGAGATGGCACCCTCAGACACGCAGATCCCACAGGGATGGGTACCCGAGTGCCATGGGGATGTGTAGCCTCAGACACTCAGGTGACAGTGCCAAGCACCCTAAAGTGCCCTGTGCCATGGGCGTGGGCACCCTGCTGCCACAGGCACCCCAAAACACATCAGCAGAGTGGCTCTGGGTGCCCTGAGGACACAGGGATCGCCCCAGTGCCACGGTGACGGGCACCCAGTGATTTCTGTCCCCCCACGGGGCCGGGCCCCCCCGAGGCTGTGGGACAGCCCCCTTGGGGTGCCCCAGGGCTGGACGCCCATGACCGTGGCCCTCCTGGCCTGGCCGTCGCTTCGCAACCGCCGGCACCAGCGCGTGACCAGCGAACAAAGAGCCCTTTCACCGGCGCCCCCGCCGCCACCAGCACCCTGGGACCCCCAAAGGGGGGAGGGAGGGGACCAACCCCACCCCTCTGGGTGCCCCCCAGCCAGGGACCCCATAACTATGGGTGCTGCAGCACCCCCCAATTCCCTCTGGGACCCGGGTGGAAAATTCCAGCAGCAGGGCTGTATAAATTTTATGGGCCCCTTGTCACCGTGTCCTCGGGGACCTTTGCTCTCCTGGTGGTGGCCCCGGCGTCGCCTGCCCCGGCAGCCCCTCGCTATCACTGGCCCTTTGCTCCAGGGGAGGGGGAGGCCGAGCTCCCCCAGCTCGTGACACCCTTGCACAAGTTGGGGCCACCTGGCAGAGGTCCAGGGTGGTGGGAAGGTCACTCAGCCCAGCACAGGGGGTGAGGCTGGGGGGGCACCAGCCATGACCCTGCTGCCACTGGTGTAAATTGTTGGTGGGGTGGCACCGGGTGGTGACACCTTTCGGGTGCAGCCACCCTGGCGTGGCAGTGGGGTGCAGGGACAGGAGTGTGGCAGTGCCAGGGGGCTGGCGTGGGGCTGTGGGACTTTTGTGGGTACTGTGGGACTGCTGAGGGTGTCACGGGAGCGGTGTGGATGCTGTGAGGCTGCCATGGGTGTAACAAGCATGGCAGAAACGCTGTCGGTACAGGTGGCATGCACCTGGCAGAGATCCTGTGAGCCTGGCACTGGTGCTGTGAGCGTGGGATGGGTGCTGTGGGCACGGGATGGGTGCTGTGGGAGTTGGATGGTGCTGTGAGAGAGGGATGGGTGCTGTGAGACTGCCCCGGGCAATACCAAGCATGGTGTGAATACTGTGAGGCTGCCAGGGGTGCTGTGAACAGGATATGGGTGCTGTGAGCCCGATGGTGCAATCCTGGGATGGGCTCTGAGAGCCTGGCATGTGTTCCCTAAGTGCGGGATGGGTGCTGGAGTGTGGGATGGGTGCTGTGGGTGCCATGAGCTGGGTGTGGGTGGTGCAAGCCTGCTGAAGGCTGGCAGAGGTGGTGTGAGCGTGGTATGGGTGATCCACTCTTGCAGAAGGTGAGTGGGAATTGGTGCTGTGAGACCGATCCGTGTGTTACCAGAGCTTGCACAGGTGTTATCAGTGTGACACCCGTGCTGTGAGTGTGACACAGAGGGTATCAGTGCAACATGGGTGCTGCCAGCCTGCTCCTGCTCTTGTGGGCATGCTGTGGGTGCTGCGAGCCTGGCACCAGCGCTGCGGCTGGGCACGGGTGCTGCGAGCCTGGCACCAGCTCTGCAGGGTTGGCACAAGCACCGCAAGCCTGGCACCGGGGCTGTGAGCCTGGCGTGGGCACTGGGAGCCTGGCAGGGGCGCTGGGAGGCTGGCAGGGGCACTGCGAGCCTGGCATGGCCCCCCGGCCCCCCAGGGCAGCTCCTCCCTCGCCGGTGGTGCCAAGCGGCTGCGAACCCCCCGTGTCCGTGTCCGTGGCCTCTGGCCGGACCCACCCCCGCCGGGTGACTCAGCCCGAGAGGCTTTTCCTTATATAACGCGGCACTGCACGGAGCCCCACTGAGCGGCCCCTGCCTCAGTTTCCCCTCGCCGGGGCGTCACTGCCACTGCTGCCACAGCCGCCGCTGCCATGTGGATGGTGTCACCGCCGGTCGGTAAGTGCCACCTGGATGCCGCTCGCCCCTTTGCGAGGTGCCCCCCCATCCTTAAAAATCATCGTTTGTCGGGGGCTAGTAGAAGAATTTGGGTTATTGGGGCAGGAAACTGTAAAATACATTAATTGGCCCCAAAAAATAGGTTAACTTTGCCCTTCCTGTGGCTGAGCCCCTTTTCCCTGCGCCTTGGGCGGGGGTGAGATAGCCCTTGGGGCACAACCCCCTCGGAACGCACCTGGGAAGAACCAAAATCACCTGCTTTCCCCCCAGAGTAGTGATCAAAGCAACGGGAGCGGCGCAGGGCTAAGGAATTCCCTCACATGCCGACACTTTGATTTTGGGGCGAGAAGCGCCAGGAACGGGCGAGTCTGGGAGCCCCGGCCGTGGCCGGGGGCGCTCGCAGGTGCCTGGATCCGGTGCTGCCACAGCTCCGCAACATTCCCAGGGCCCCGAGCCCGCCTGGCGCTGGGAAGGGACGGCAAATCCCAAAATTTAGCTTTCGAAGTTCCCAAACTCACCCCAAATTAAGGGATAAAGGTGGGGTGCAGCACCCAGCGTGGCCTCAGACCCCCGAAAAATCCCCGGCTCCGGCAGAAGCAGGAGCGCCCGTGCGGGGCTCGGGGGGATTTGCCCGGCTCGGCCCGTGCGGGGCTCGGGGGGATTTGCCCGGCTCAGCCCGTGCGGGGCTCGGGGGGATTTTTCCGGCTCGGCCCGTGCGGGGCTCGGGGGGATTTTTCCGGCTCAGCCCGTGCCGGCGGCTCCGGGCGCGGTGTCCAAAGGTCGCTCTCGCCGCGGCGCTCGGAGCCGCCGACCCCCGACACCTCCGCTCCCCTGCGGTTCTTGCTGGATTTCCCACCTGGGGAGCTGTTCTGGTGGCATTCCGGAGCAGCTCGGGGGGGCTCTGAGGGGACTCGGGGGGGTTTGTCTTGCTCTGACGTCCTGTTTTCTTTCAGATGAAGGATCTGCCTGGCTTTGGGACACGGCAAAGGCGGGGGGCAAAGGACAGGACCCTTAAATTCTTTCCCTAAAGCTTAGCCCGATAGGTATATAAGATCAATAGAGCTTAAACCGGGGTTGGCTTTTAGTCTAAGTTTGGGTTTGGTTTAATTTGTCTTTATTTTATTATTTTTTACGGTTCTTTTATTCATTTCTTTGCTTTTTTGGCCTCTTTTATTCCATTTTTGGCCTCCGGTGGGGAGCTCAGCAGCAGAGCTTGCACAAATCAATCCCCTGCTGCTTCCTAAACAGATTTTGGGGGATTTTGGTTTGAGGAGGGGGAACCCGTGCACCAACCTGCTGTTTTGGGGGGGCTTCAGCCCCTCCCTGGTTGGAACACAGTGGGGGGTTGCAGGTATTTTTCAGTCCACCAAGAAGCTGGTGCTGAGTGAGCAAGCGGGACGGGAACGGGCACTGGAATTCCTCCGGAAAAACGCGGCTAACGGACTCTCCGTGGCCAACCTCCTGGCTGGGCTTTCCTCCATCCTCTGCACTGTCAACAGGTGGGGGAAACTGGGAAAAACGGGGTGAAAAATGGGGCTGGGGAGTGGGGGTCACCCTGGCTGTGCTCTCTCTGTGGCCAAGCTGGTGGCCAGCCTCCCCTCCAGCCTCTACAGCATCAATAGGTGGGGAAAAAAAAGGGAGAACAGGATAAAATGAGAGGAAATGTGGTGAAAAGGATGCACAGAAGTGTGGGTCACCCTGGTTTTTCTGGAAAAAGTGGAAATGGGAGGGCAAAGATGGTAGAAAAGTGTGGTTTGCCCTGATTTGCTGGAAAAAGGGGGAAAGGGGGGGAGGAAAAATGAAAAAAGGGGGAAAATGGGGTAGAAAAGTGTGGGCCAGCCCAGTTTTGCTGAAAAAATGGGGGAATGGGGGAAAAAAAGGGGGATGAAAAGGGAGATGAAAAGTGAGACACTGTGGTTTGGCTCTCTCCATGGTCAAAGTCTCCTCACCTTTGGTCTCTGCAGCATCAATAGATGAAGGGGGAAAAAGAAGGTTGAGAAGTAGGGGTCACCCCAGTTTTGCTCTCTCTGTGGCCAACCTGATGGCTGGGCTTATCTCCACCATCAATAGATGGGGTAAACCAAGGAAGAGATGGGGTGAAAAAGAGAGGAACAGGGGCTGAGAAGTGGGGTTTCCCCCCCAGGCAGTACCAGTACTCCTGCTGGCTTCTGCTCCTGGGCTTCCTGCTGGATCTGGCCGATGGGGCCGTGGCCCGGCAGCTTGACGCCTGCTCGGCACTGGGTGAGTGCATCCCCCCGGCCCAGGGGTGACCCGAGGGTGTCCCCCGTGCCCGGTGCCCACCTGGCACCTGCCCCTTGCTGCCCCCACAGGTGCCAAGCTGGATGACTTTGCCGATTTCACCACGTTCGGGCTGGGCACGGCGCTGCTGCTGCAGCCCCAGGGTGTGCTGGGGGGGCTGCTGACCCTCGCCTACGTGCTGGCCGTCTTTGCCCGCCTCTGCTTCTTCTCCAGCGGTAAGATGAGCCCCTGGGGGTGGGGAGTTTGGAGTTTTTCCCCCTACATTGAACTCCTGACACCCCACAGGGATCCCCTTCACCTACCGGGGGCTGCCCTGCCCCTACGCCTCAGCAGTGCTGGCCAGCACCTTCCTACTCACCGGGGGACACGTGGCCCTGCTCCGCGTCGCCGCGGCTGCCATGATCCTGTTCATGGCCGACTGCGGCTTCTATCCCCACGACAGGGTGCTGGAGTCACAGCTCTGGAAGAAACTGGTTTATGCTGGAGGTAAGGATGGGGATGAACCTCTCAGGATGGTGGTAGAGGGGGAGGAAAAGCAGATCCCCAAGGATTTTCCCGCTCCATAGGGGTGGTGGCTGTCCTGCTGGCACCGACGGCGGTGGCTGCGGTTTATTGCCTGACCTGGGCCACGTCCTACATCGTCTTCCCCTTCGCCCTCTGGAGCTGCAAGGCCTGAGCCCTCCCTAGAGCCTAGTAAAGCCTTCCTCATCCTCATCCTTATTCTCCTCGTCCTTGCTCTGGGTTCTGCTTCCTCCCTTCCCTCTTCCCACTGAATCTGGATGGCAAAAGGAGCCTGCTAAGGCAAAAAAAAGAGAAAGGCTCCACTTCAGGGAAGCCCAAAAAATCCCTGTCCTTTGGTGGAAGCAAGGGAACCCCCATCACCCCACACCAACACTAGAGACCTCCAAATCCCTGGGAAATTTACAGTTTGCCCTGACAAGAGACCCCCAAGCCCTTCTCTGCACAGGAAACTGAAGTTTAGGGATTGCTCACACTGCCCAGTGGGAATTCATTACAAAGGGAGCTCCAAAAATGAGGAAGGCCCACCTTGGGTAGGAGGAGGAAGATGCTGATCAAACCTCCAGAGGATTTCCGACATAGGATTCACTGGGAGCAGTTTGGAGTTTACCACTTAATCCGTAGCTGCAGGGAAGTACCATCCCAAATGTGGTTTATTTTCAACCCCTCAGCGTGACACTGCTGGGGCAGGGAAAGGGGGGAAGCAGGACTTGATCCAAAGTCTCTGGAAAGCCAGAGGCTGCTGGACAGCGGCGGCTGGAGCACAGAGGGTGTGGGTGGAGGAAGGAAGCAAAGGTCAAACCTGATGCTGGAGAAACACTCAGCATCCCCAGGGAGGCTCTGGCAGCAGGAGCAGCTGCAAGATGTAGCTCCTGCTGCATCCCTCCGGAATAAATCCCAGCTCCGGGAGGGCAGGACCCTTCTCCACAGCAGGAAATGTCGGGATGGGGCCATGGCTGGAGCTGGCACCTGGCGCCACAGCTGCTTTGGCATCGGCCCTGCTCTGGCCTCCCCCACACCATTCCCACCCGCAGCAAACAAGAGCCAGGAGACAGAGAACCAGCACAGAGTTTATTGATACAAAAAGGGCGATTTGATAATAAATACCGGGGGGTTAGAAAAGGGGGGCAGGGCAGGGGCCGGGCTGTCATTCCCCGGATCCCTGCATCTGCTTGCAGAAGGAGTCGAACTGCTGCTGCTCCAGCTCCGTCATCACCCGGTTCAGGGCATAGATCTGGGATTGGGAAAGGGCGGATGGAAAAGGGGGGGTTGGGCCGTGGGTTGGGCCGTGTCCCTCCCCATTCCCTCGTTCCCACCTCCGCCCGCTGCCGCTGCTTCAGCTCCTGCTGTGCCGACCTCTGCTTGGCCTTCTCCAGACGAGCCGCCGGCTCCCGCGGCTTCGGCCGCTCCTTCCGTGCCCCCGCGCCCGGATCCATGGCTGTGACACGGGGGGGTCACCCGGGGACCCCGGACACACCCGCACGGCCCCCCGTGTCCGCGGCACCCCCAGACAACCGAGGCTCACATGGGGTGCCCCAATGGCATCCTCACAGGGGACTCCCCCTAAATCCATCCTGGGCCCCAGAAATGCCCCCTAAACCTGTTCTGAGCCTCACAGCTGATTCCCAAACGCGTCCTAATCCTCCCAGGAGACCCTCAACCCCGTCCTGAGCCTCACAGGAGACCCTCAACCCCGTCCTGAGCCTCACAGGAGACCCTCAGCCCCATCCTCATCCTCACAGGAGACCCTCAGCCCCATCCTGAGCCTCACAGGAGACATCCCCCGCCAACTCATCCCGAGCCCCTCAGGTGCCGTCACCCCCCCACAGACACAGGGCCCCCCAAGGCTTCTCAGCATCACCCCCATTCCCCAGCCCCCTCAGCAGCCCCCTCCCCTCACACTTCGTCCCCCAGCACCCCGCTCCCTATCGGCCCCACAGCACTCCCAGCCCCACAGACACAGATCCCAAAGCCCCCCAGCCCCCTCTCCGTCCTCACAGCCCCCCTGAGCCCAGTGCCCACACACAGCACTGACGCAAGCCTCCCCAGCCCCCCATAAATCACAACCCCCAATCCCCACCACCCTCACAGCGCCCCCCAAACCCACAAGCTTCCCTTTCCCACAACCCCCAGCTTTCAGTGCCCAACAAGGTGCTCCCCTGGCCAGCAGTGAGTCCCTCAGCCCCCTCCAAGGCCCCGGTGCTCCCTCACTCGCCAAGCCAAGCCCCTCCGGTTCTCCGCTCCCCCCTCGGTGCCCCCCCCGTGTTCCCCGGTACCGGAGGGGCTGCGCCCGGGGCAAGATGGCAGCGGAACCCTTCCGCCTTTCGGCCCTCGATTGCCCGCCCTGGGCGCACGCGCAGAGCCCGCGGGCCGGGTGCCACAGCGCCCCCTGGCGGGCAGGTGCTGCTGCCAGTG